GTTAATATCATGGAGCTGGACTTTGTGAGCAAATTGAGAATAAGGAATGACGTTAAAACATTTGCCGAGATCCAGGAAGCATAGGAGTGAGAGGCGACCATGATCCACGCTGGAAAAGACGCGGTTGGTCACGGTGAGCAGAGCAGTCGGCGTGGAATGGCGGGAAGGGAAACCATGCTGGGATGAGGACAGATGATTGTCGGACATGCAGGTGAATGCCTGGCGTTGCACCACACGCACGACAATCTTGGTCATGATAGAGATGATGGAAATATGATGCCAGACGGGGTTTGGATCGCCGTGTGTGAGAATAAGATGAACCGAGGAGCGCTTGCAGGAATCAGGAAAACCGCAGAACGTGAGGCAAGTGTCGACAATAAGAATAAGGGTAAGTTCAACAGCATCAAAACACAGGAGCAGGATACGAATACTATTACGGCGCGATCCACTAATGAACGGCGTAGTGATCCCCCCCCCCCCCTCCCCCCCCCCCACACTCTCCCCGCTCCTGTAGCCGTGCAGAGCGGGTCGGCAGTGGGCTTGCATTCCGCGCCGCGGCCTTGGGCAGCGGGCGCCGTTGTTCGTCTTCGTCCGCCTGGAGCGACCGCCCCCCGGTTGTGATGCGCGCGCGCCCACTGCAGCACCGCCCTGCGCCCAGCTCTGCGCCGCCCACGTGTCGACCGTGCGAGAGGCGGGCGCGCCGACTTTCAGATGCTAAAGCTGCACTTAAACGGACTATGGCAACCGTTTTTTGCATTGCAGCAGACTGCAGACGCCGCCCTGTGATTTTGCCCCGGCGCCTGCAGGCAGGTAGCGTTGTGACAAATATGCCGCGCACTGCTCGGCGACCGATGCAGGGCTGTTGTGAACAGGAGGCCACATCCGCAGTGTGTCGGGATGTTGGAGTCCGCATTCGGCTGTGAAAGCTGTCCACGTTATTCAATCGAGTCAAATTTGCAGTATTTCCGGTTCGTTGGACAGGTCTTTTGCAGTGAGTGCTATGCCATGGTCATTGAGTAGCTGACAACCGGCAGCCCTGCAAAGAATGCAGCGTCCCTCACCCCTGTCATGGGCAGGGTTTTCAGCCGGGATTTCCAGACGCTGTTCGAGCTTAAAGCTCAGTCCAGCCGCCACTGTTTGCCTTGGCCGGCTGGTGGAGGGGAACTCCGGCGCGCGCAGCCCAATGGCGTGATCAACTACGGTGAGAACAGCGCCGCTTTCTCACGCCAATCTTTCCTGACCGTTAGAGGCTAGCGGCATTGCGAAAGGAAATGGTCGCTGAAAATCTTAAGATCTAAGCGCCACCGTAGCCTACTTAAATCGAAAGTCGTCGTCAGTTGTAAGGCGGGTTTTTCTCTAACGTTTCAGGCGCGTGGAGAATTTCGGAAGTGAGGCTGCATTTGTGAGGGCTGACGCGTAAGGCGAGTTTCCATGCCGGCTAAATAACTAAATGATCCGTTTTGCCCTGTGGCTGCTCCTTTACACCCGAGCAAATGGACTGTAAAGCGGATTACGGTGGATAAGAGGCAAACGCTCGGTTACTTAATAAGGTAGTAGTAGCATGAGCGAACAGGATAAAAAGCCCAGCTCCAGCCCTCCGCTGCCCGGGTATGCATGCAAACCTTGAAAGCCATAAAAGTATGTCTGAGGCCATTAACACCATGCATATGAAACGATTTGCCACGCCTCCAGGCACATTGAGCGTGCGCCGCGTACAGAGCGAACTGAGACAAAGCTTGTGTCGCAGGTATAGAACGAAGGGATCACGCCAGAGTAGTTGTTTTCCGTTGTCATCCTCTAGTCCAAATTATGCATGCACCTGCAGCCGAAATTACCTCAGGCAGTCAGCGACCTGCCACCTGCTTCTAACTCGATACTTTCCAAATTGCCCGCTGGCATGCCGAACGGTCGCCAGCTTACCAACGGGAAGCCGCCGTTACACAACAGAGTGGTAATCGTTGCTGATTGGAACGAGGACAACAGGGAGACAGCACGGACAGATCTTATCAGCAACGCTGTGGATGCGTAAAAAGCCTTTGATAGCGTGGATGACAGCACCCCTCCAGCACACTCAGGTAGTATTGCTTGGTTTGAAAACCTTTCGGGTGAATAAAAGAGTAATGGTGTCGCTACCAGTTGCCCTTTGCTGTACGCGAAATGTCGACAGTGGTACCCAACACGTTCGATGTGTGAACGATATGTCATGCGATCAAGTAGTAACAACGCCCATTAACCAGCTCTGATGGCAATATGGGCCTTCCGGGTAACAGGAGATACTGATCAGCATACTAACGCCAGATGCCAACGATGCGAATACAAACTGCTGTTTGTAGATATATCTCCGTTGACGTGGTTGTTGGATACAGCGCAATTTTAACAGCGGTATCAGTTTTATGACACTTGTTACCATTGAAACATGTCGAGAGCCATAGTTTAAAGGGACCAGACCTAGCATGTTTCAAGTTTTATGAGTTGGTAGTTATTATTCTGAAAATAACTTACCTTCCAACATATGATGACGCACTAGTGAAACAACATTATCAAAAAGCATTGGTTGCATAAGAAAATTCGACGTTTCAAGCTGCGCTCATTGTTACGAGTGCTTTACGAGTTTATATATTATATATTATATATATATATAGTTTGTATATTATATTATATACATAGTTCATATTATATTATGTATATATATATACATATATATATATATATATATATATATATATATTTAAGACGGTTCCTGCTATCCGCCTGGCTGGTTAATCGCGGCCAAAGCTAAGAATGCGTAAAGCTCAGGGGAAGTCAGCGCATAAAGCTGACTGACGAGATCGGGGCTTCACTAGACCGGCCGAGGTCAGGATCGCGTGGCACGTGACCAGCTCACATCAAAGACAGACATCACACAGGGCATGCGGCCTCATCATGGGCGGATTTTCAGCTGGCTGGCGACGGCCCGGCGAGACGCGTCTGAGTGGCTGGCGGGCGGCACAGAGCGGTCCGCGCCCGTCTCAGCGCGTGGGCTGTTTCGCCCGTCTCAGCGGCGCGGGAAGGGGGGCTGTTTCGCCCGTCTCAGCGGCGCGGGAAGGGGGGCTGTTTCGCCCGTCTCAGCGGCGCGGGGAGGGGGGTTGTTCTGCCGGTCTCAGCGGCGCGGGGAGGGGGGTTGTTCTGCCGGTCTCAGCGGCGCGGGGAGGGGGGTTGTTCCGCCGGTCTCAGCGGCGCGGGGAGGGGGGTTGTTCTGCCGGTCTCAGCGGCGCGGGGAGCGGGGTTGTTCCGCCGGTCTCAGCGTCGCGGGGTTGTTTCCCCGGTGGACGTGGGAAAATTTGGACCTCAGAAAACTGGACATTGGCGTCGAGCGACTCCGGGAACCGGCATGGCGTTACTGTTTGGGGGAAGTGCTAACTGCAGATTCCTGAGCACCGTCCAGGGATGGCGGAAGCAAGGAACAGCACGGGAGTTGCCCACCGTCAATCAAGGTCTAACGGAGGGGGGCACTTCTTGCCCTAGCAAGTAAGAGAATACCGTGGGCAAGTTAGCGCCAGAATACCTCGGCTAGGTGGGCTCTGTGATATCACGTCAAGTGTACGTCACTGCAGGTATGTTGTCTGTCGATGGTTGTCCGATATTACGGCACCGCCACCATGTCGTTGTCCTGCGACCGGTCCTGTGTTCAAACCCTCTTATTTCTTATCTATGCGACATAAGACGCTTTAATTATCATTTTTGGTGAGGAGATCTGGAGACGTTTTATGAGCGTGTTAGAACTCAAGGGCTCTGAGGATTGTTTCTAATCCAAGTTGGTCAGTCCCCAAAAAGGTTAGATCTTACAGTGGAATGGTTACCCAGAACGGTCAGTGTTCTGGCGTGGCTACAGGGACTTTGGCAAATATGCATGGCTTTCTGGTAGGATGTCAGACAGCCCAAGACTGTTAGAAAAACACGGGGCTCAGCTGTTTGAGATCCCTTATGACGCCTCACTGTATGGGTCGCTGAAGCGGATAACAGCAGAGGCACGTTCAGAACAGCCCAGACAATTAAGCAGCTCTTGGAAAAGCTTATGAAGGCCCGAAACGATCTAGGCTGCTAAAGAGTAAGTAACTTGTCTACACAACTCTACAAAACCTGAATTACCGAGAGGTTTCTGTAGGAGCTCAATCAAGGCCCTCGTGGGGAAGAGAGGCCAGCACAACTGTTGGCCGAGCGGGATAAAACTCACGCAAATAAACATTAACTCAAGAAAAGTAAATGGAAGTATACACCTAGCACGCAATGCCGAAGTATACGCGAGATAAAATGCCGGACGTGTTCAATATACTGAGCAGGTGCAGCCAAGGTGATCATTCACTCGCTATCCTTTTCCCATGTATGTTATATGATATTGATGACTTTCACCAGACTGCATGATTAATCAGGTACCTGCGTTTTTTTCTGTGCAGGTAAATTACATTAATTAAAGTATTTCGCGCTTTTTCATATCTTTTGTGCACGGTATATGTATATATATATATATATATATATATATATATATATATATATATATACTAGCACATATGTTTCTAGTACATATGCAATCACAGCGTTATCCGGTGGGACTAGAGATAGGACAGCTCTCTCCAACTCCTTCAATTACTGGTGTCCAGGCCGGCACCGGGTCAAGGACTGGCCAGCTCGAAAAACAGCATGCGCGCTTCGCAGCTGTTGGCGCGGTGCACGCGGACGAGCCTTACTTTAAAGTCATTGTGCTGGTGCCAGACTCTCAAATAATGATGCTTACAGTGGGCTGTTTAGTGGCCCCGGTACGCCACGCCAGAATGTTTTGTTCTGCCGTGCAGTTTATAATTTCGGTCTCGCGGTACGGCAGAGTATAGCGACCGGTCCAGACCACTGGCGGAGAACTCCACAGTGATGTTGAGCTTGCGCCCGTTCTGATCCAGTTGCTGCAAGAACCGTCTCAGGTGCACTACAAGGATGCGTGGGAACCTTCGAATCTTGAAGTCTTTGGATCACCTTTGACGCTTCTGGCACATGGAGCATGTCGGCTTTTCTTCTCCGTCAAGCACCTCTTCCCTGGTAAAAAGGTCAAAGCAGTCCTCCAAGCGCACCTGGCCCGTCATGGATGGGATCGGCAGGCTCAGGTCCCAGAACGGGTCAAATGTCACGGACGCTTGGCCGTACACCGTGCACCGCAGCGTGAACTTGAACTGCCCGACAAACAGGTCAACGAACTTCAAGTTCTTCAGGAACAGGAAGCGCTTCCAAGCCTCCAGCGGTTTCTGGCTAGCGTTGAGGCTGTCGTCGATGTGGGTGGGTTTGGGCTTAGGCAGGTTGTCGACACGGTTCACGTCCTTTTGCAAGCCTTCCAACAGGTATCTGAGGAACTCCTGCGCGTCCTGCTGCTGATAGCCTGTAAAGCGGGCCGCAAATCGCTGGAATTGTATTGTCACTGGTGAGGTGACCAGTGCCCGGTCAGCCTCATCTGAGCTCTTCCATAGGTCCCACATTAGCATGGCAAATGCTGTGATGAGGGCACCCTTCATGGCGGAGGTAGTCGTGTTGATCTCTCTCGAGTGCTCGTCTCGTACGATGCAGTCATGCAGGGTGCGGATGTTGCTCAGCCATTGCAGCACCACGTTCGCGAAACGCGTGACGGCGATGTGCCGGAGTCCAGCGAGGCCAAGTGGCCGTGTCGCGGGCCGCGCTCCACCGCCACCTTCGCTCGGGTCAACAATCCCCCGGGCAGTTCGGCGGGGAGGCGGCCGTGTCGCGGGCCGCGCTCCACCGCCACCTTCGCTCGGGTCAACGGTCCCCGGGCAGTTCGGCGGGGAGGCGGTCGGGTCTGAGCAGACGAGCGGGCGGAGCTGCTCCGCGTCCCACTGATCAGCACGCGCCTGTTCGGTACTGTTCAGCACGCTCGGACTGTTGCTTCCGCTTCCTCTCCTTCTGGGTTTCCCCCAGTTGTTCAGTGGGAATCATTCATCTCGGCCTACAGCTCCGGAAGGCTACGCTCTGAGCCTGGCTTCACCGGGCTGTCGTGCCGATCTGGGAGGAGGCGACCGGCCGCCAAAACGTATGTAGGAGGCTCACTCTTAGGAGGTGACGAGTTAGGCGTTCCACCAATCGGGCTGATGAAGTTTTCGGCTGCCTTCGGATGCAATACCCAGTTCACCACAGTCTGTCTTTGAGCGCGGGCAGACACGTTAAGGGAAGTAGTTGGGTAGTAGAAAGCGCTAGGAAACTAGCAGTGACAACACTGAGGCAGCATTGTCACAGCGTTGAGGCAGCCTTGATATCGACTCAATGCCGATAAATAAGAAATTGACGGCGATTTTGGATGACAGTTGATGGGTATAATGTCTGCACAACTTCAAGGAAATCAATTCATTCAGTTCTGTATAGTTGATCTTACCTTGCGATCACGAAACAAAATGGTTCCTGCAACGCAGATCACCTTGACATCAGACTCATGTGATTGTAAAAAAAATACTAAAAAGATCATAGATCAAGATCAAGGAGAGAGAGAGAGAGAGAGAGAGAGAGAGAGAGAGAGAGAGAGAGAGAGAGAGAGAGAGAGAGAGAGAGAGAGAGATATATATATATATATATATATATATATATATATATATATATATACATAAAGTGATACAGTGACATTCCATACTTCAGTCTCATATCGGTGCAAAATCAAATAGGCCAAAATGGCCTATTTAATATTTTTGCACTTTTGTGACTCTGAAGTCAAGGTGTTTTGTGCTTGATTAAATATGGGTCAGTTCAGAGAAGGATTAAAACTGATTTCAAGGTGATGTGCTCAATGATTTGCCCTCACCTCAACCCAACATGCTGTCAACGTCCCCATTGTCCCCGGCACTACCTCCAGCCCTCGTGGACCCAGCTACTAATGAGCTAAACATTTAATTAGATTCCCCGCGCGTATGTGCCCTCCCTTTTTACTGAGAGTCTAAAGGGCTTTATGGCAGCAATTCAGGGCGCGTTTTTCTCCCACGGGCTTGCGTGTGTCGCTTGCACATTTCTGCAGTTATCACAGTTCACCGACGGGTTTACTGGCTCGGAGCCCGCAGCTGCAGCGGCGTTTAGCCAGCCTTTGTCTTATGTGCGTGCGGACAACGCCGCACCCGGTCTGCACAAAGGCGGCGACGAGTGCTGTGATTGTATCTGGCAACCTGCCAGCGATGTGTCTTCCTGCCCGACCCAGGGCTCCCGGCTGCACATGCCGTCAAACCGGATTCAACCGGCGCACAAAGGGGCCGCCACACCCAGCCGCGGCAGGGAGAGGCTCGAGCAGAGCGGCCGCCAGCGGGCCTCGCTGGACGCCAGGGCGGGTCGGCACGGCCCCCAGCTGACCCGATCGACGGCTGCAGCCAGGTTCGTGATCACCGCTGGGGCATGGTCACGACTTGGTCATGGCAACGGGCTGCACGCGGGCACCGTGACCCTGGCGTGGCACTGTGCAGTGCGACCCTCGTCAGAACGGGGAAAGCGTGTTCCGGCCCGGGTTTGGGAGCTGCCTCACGAGCCGTTCCGCGTATTGCAACGGCGTTTTGGCTGGCCGTGTTTGTCACCTCACGCCGGACTGGGTGGCGGGTGGGATCTCGTTCTCAAAGCGCGGTGCGGTGAAAACGTGAAAACACAACACTCGGCTTTGTGTTCTTGGCTCTGTGTGCGCCAGAGCATGTTCTCAGTGGGCCTGAAAGGCGTGACATCAGGACTGTCAAGGCTCGTAACCTCCCCTGATGTCATTCGGTCTCATCAGTTTTCAAAGTGTTTCGGTATGGACTAGAGTGATTAACGTATGTCAACATTTGAGCAGATATTGCTTCGGGCGAAGATCATGTCAGGCAAGTTTCTGGCACCGACCAGAATAGTGTTCATATAGTGAATAGTGAATAGTCTTTCATGGCGTGCCAATGCCTTCCACCATTGCTTATGATGATTGTCCATGCAAGCAAGGTACCTCTATCCCAAGCTCTTGGGAAGTAATGCAACGATGTCAGGCGATATCCCACTGGTCTCTAACAGCAAATGGGCTTTGGCTCCCATCAACTTTAATCAGTGTACGTTGGCGCAAAACAACCTCAGTAGCACAAAAGCATAGCCGAGCCTCTTTTGAATCCACCTGAAAGGCCGTCCGTAAGAGCGACTGCACAGTGACGTCAGCAAAAGTTATAGATCGTGTGTGGGGTTGCCTACCCGTTCCTGGACGTCTGCTCCATTCCGTTGGGTATACAAATGTCAAGGTGAGGGTCGTGCCGGCCGGTAAATTCACTACGCTGCTGAAGGTCGCGGTAACACCGATGTCAGCGACGGTTAGCTTCAAAGTTTGTGGTAAGGATGAAGAGTGCCTGTGGTGCCCGCTTAGCTGTGAACTGTTCTGCTGAAAGTGCATTGCAATAGCCTTGGGGATACCAGAATTAATACCAATCAGCGTCGAAATTGAGTTATGTTGTTGACATATTATAGAGACTAAAGCCAAGAATGGGGCCAAGAAAAACGAAACGCATCACCTGTCAGACGGCTTTTGCAAAATGACACAAGCGAGATAAGAGGCGTGATTGTTTAACCACGCAGATACTACTAAACATACGTGGGTTAGTGTGTCACCATGAGGAATCTGTACTGATAGAGCTTATCTACCATTCGCGACAGCATCCACCCTCCATGGGCTTAGTAGGCAGAGGCGCGCTGACGTACACAGGTGGGGGGGCGTGCTGATGCCTGACGTCCGCGCGTTGATGCCTGATGTCCACGCGCTGATGCCTGACGTCCCCGCGCTGATGCCTGGCGTCCCCGCGCTGATACCGGTGTCCCCGCGCTGATGCCGGTGTCCCCGCGCTGATGCCTGGTGTCGGCGCGCTGATGCCGGTGTCCCCGCGCTGATTCCTGGCATCCAAACGCTGATTTCTGGCGTCCAAGCGCTGATTCCTGGCGTCCAAGCGCTGACGCCTGGTATCGGCCCTGATGTCTGGTGTACCCGCGCTGATGCCTGGTGTTCCCGCGCAGATTCCTGGCGTCCAAGCGCTGATGCTTGGCGTTCCCGCCCTGATGCTTGGTGTCGGCGCGCTGATGTCTGGTGTCCTCGCGCTGATGTCTGGTGTCCTCGCGCTGATGCTTGCCGGCCGCGCCACACTTGCAGCACTGAAGAACTGACTGTTTTTGCCAAAGCCTAGCAACGCTAATCGGAGAGGTCAGTGGATTGCTATTGGTTTCCCTTTTTTGTAACTGTGACGACAGTACTGGAAATACGTTAGCCTTTTGTCTGGATTTCGATCGCAATAAACTAGGCTGAGCGTCTAAGTAGTTTTCGTGATGTGGTCCGTCTTCGTTTAGGTCACATCGTGCCTTATTTCGAGCCGATTCGGGATAAGGCAACATAGGGTTCCTCCGCATATTGCCAGTGCCTCTACGGGGGCGGCGGCGTTGTGATCGCTGCGTTATGATTAGGCGATACATTTCCTACACCGAGCAACGTGTTCACTCTCTGCCTGCTTCAGTTGCCGGCATTTGAAGTCCATCGTAAAAACGTCAGAACCATGGCGGACCGATGCTTTGATCAAAGCTTCGATCCTCCAGGGTTCGGAGTGTTGAGCTTTGATTGTGCGCGATTGCACGCACGCGTCGGTCAATAGGTTTGCCGATATAATTGCCCGTTTTGATTTGCTGGTATGAGTAGCAGTTGCCGGGAAGCCCGGTCGCCGGGTCGGGTCCTTTTTCCGACTCGCGCTGTTCAGGCTTCTGATTTGTTGAAATTGCAGGCTTGATGTTTGTCATGTCGGGAGGATAAATAGTGCCGATATCAGAACCTTCCAGAAATATGCCGCCTAATCAAACATCTTGTGTTTAAGTGAAATGTTCCACATTTCAGTATAATGAAGCAAGCCTCAGAAACGATGAAATAAGCTCACTTTTAATTATGACTAACTATATTTAAACTAACTATAACTATTGGTATACCTAAAAGTGGAAAAGACCGGTCTACACAGCACAACCGCTCTGTAAGGAAATATGCTCCTCAATACATCATTGTCTGATTTCGTCATCGTACCTTGCACAACCTTGATTGGGAGCCAATTGACGACCGTTATGCCTGGAAGTTGTGTTTACGGGCGCCAGCTATAAACGATACGATAGTTATATTTTCCTGGCCTTGATCGCCGCATGGGCTATAGAATGGCAGGATTTGAATGGTGTTATTATGGTGTCATGGGCGCCTGGGTGATACTGAATAAGTCTCCCCGAAAAAGTATGCACACTTCGCGGGTGTGTAGCTAAAAAATCAGAGGAGTTGAGGTCTTAAGAAGGGCAAGGATGAGAACTGCGCCGAATAGTTTTCAATATAGGTATGAAAACTGTGCGACTGTTGCTGAAAGCCTTATGGCGGCATGCTCGGTGGTTGCAAAGATATATGTGAGCCCGCCAGAAGCGTGACTGGCCGAGCTAGGCGGTGCCGGGCAGTGCCGGGCCGGGCAGTAGCGGGCAGTGCCGGGCCGGGCGAGCCGGGCAATGCCGAGCAGTGTCGGGCAGTGCCGGGCCGGGCAGCACTGGGCAGTGCCGAGCCGGGCTGGGGTGGGCAGGGTCGGGCCGGGCAGTGCCGGGCCGGGCGAGCTGGGCAATGCCGAACAGTGCCGGGCCGGGCAGGGCCGGGCCGGGCTGGGCCGTGCCGTGCCGGGCCGGGCTGGGCTGGCTCGGACCGCTGAAGCTATACACATATCCTGTTAGTTGGCGTTATTGGTTGATCGACCCGCCGCCTCGAACGTAATAGGCCTGACGCTGTATGTTTCATTGTATACAAAATACGCAAACTATTACCGTGTACGCGTGAGTGTAGAGGTGTGGAATTTTGCATGTTTGCGCCCCTCACATCCGCAATACATTTGGAGTGGGTGTGTGCAGATGCTAGCGCACCTCAATGGCATCGAATAGCAATATGTTGGCTGCATGGTGCAGACTCAAGGTGAGTAGGCGGCTGGGCGATATTCAGCGTGGCGGGGCTAGTTAAAAGCAACACTTTAATTATCGCCTGGGTTACCTATGGTACCAGGTATTACTGCTATTTGGGGCACTAGATGTATTAAATCAGTGAACATTAGACATAACTATGGCTGTCTGGACCGCCTAAAGCGTGAAATCAACACTTTTGTTTATCAAAGTCACAATGTAAAAAGCTGATCCCAACTGTAAACAACACGTTCACCTCAAACGTGGCGTCATCAATGACATTGTCAGGGTTTCCTAATTGGAAGACAAGCAAGCAGATAGTGTCTCAAATGACTTGGACCGCCTGGCAATTAATTCGTGCATCCGAGACCTTTACCTTTGTCTGTAGCCTCCTTTGGCAAGGTTAGTAATTTGGAGAACCCAACAAGGTACTGCATTCGTTGCGGCGAGACTTTGTTACTGCCGAAGGCCAACGGAGTTTCTCTCATGCAGTGAAGCCTGAGCCGCTAGGAATTTTTTGCCCCCCCCCCCCCCTGCTCTTCACAGATTGGGATGTTTTGTATGTCACATTCTTATCGGTATACGCATGAACGTATGAAATCGGTATGACCAGCTCTCCTGTGATTTTGGAGAGAACACTGTGGGCAGGAGGTCCACCCAATGCTTGTTCAGTACTTGAATACTTAAGTTCCGTTATAGGATGTGTCCTATGGTGACTAAGGGTCCTCATCGTAAAAATCTGCAAAAATGGCCATTTCAGCAAAGAAGTATGAACTGCCCAGGAAAAATTGAGATATACGCCGGTGCACTGCGAAGGAACGCGGCTAATGTAGTGCACAGGTGCGCGCCAAGCTTTCACCTGAATTGTTGCGCCCAAACTCCCAGGTTCGCGGGTGTCTGCTGTCCTGTTCCTGGCCACCATGGTCACCGAATGGCCATTTGAGCAGACTGCTGACCTCTCGGGAACGTCTTGGTAATGTCAGGAGTCCATGATGCTGCAAGCCGTCTCTGGGACATGTCAGGATTCTCTGCCGCTCTGGGGGCGCTAAAAATGTGTCAGGAGCGTCTTGCAGTCTAGAAGAGGGCGCTGTGGCATGACACATGTCTGAAAGGCACTCTGGCTGTCATTTTAGGTCTCCCATAGTCATCTCAAGGAGTGCGTTGCCCCCTGGCCGCATTTAAAAACTTTATTACGGTTTTTTTGGCGCTGTATGTGACTCTTGACCTCCCTAGGTTTAATGACGCTTCTGATCTCGTGATTGGTCTGAGTGATATTAGGACATTAGTGTGAACTGTACACGATTTGGTATCAGCTGACGTTTGTGCGATCGCTGCTATTGAATGCTACCTTTACACGGATTCTCGCATGCTCTATTTGTTTGAAAATTATATAATCGCATACTATATGATGGCATACGATTACCTCAGTACCTTTGAAACTTGACGTTAACGTGAACTAATTACATTTTGTTTTTTAAAGAAGCCACAGAACACATTTCTTACCACAGAAGCTGTGGCAAATCACACGTTACAGTTTATCCGAGGCCAGGGATACTTTTTGTTAACTCTGTGGACAATGCCATCCCTGTTGTACAGTACGTACCCGAGGTGCCAGGTGCGGCGTCCGGCGCCTGGCACGCGGTAGCACGCGCGCTGCCTGCTGCCGCACCTCGTGCGGCCCCAGTCGCGAGTCCAGCTCACAGCTACCTGGGTCTGGTTTTTACCGGACTGGGACCGGTTCGCGGCGTGCATGGCGCTTGCACCAATCGGCGGAGATGTCAGTTGCAGATGCAAGTCTGCAGTGCAATTCGAGGGTGATCAATTTTGTCTCACGGCGTATTCCGCCTTTCGCCGCGTGGAATGTGACTGCTGCGAACTGTATGACCTGGGCTGCATGATTAAGTCTGCCTCCACCTCGCCTGGCATCATGATCATCATGATCATCATTATGTTCATTAAACAGGACATGCAGTACAACGCAACGTAAATCAGAAAGGTGCAAAATCAAAAGCTTAAATCGAAGCACCTTGACTGAAACACATAAAAAGACATACTGAACTGTGACCGTCGCCAAGGTACAGCTCGCTCAGCTGTTTAATTCGGCCGGATGAAAAATCTGAAGCATCTGAAGTACGCATGCCTTGCGTGGCCGTAGCGTTGGATCGGAAGGTTTTTCATACAATTGGGGGATGCCGTTTGCACATATGTTTAAAGTTAGCGATGAAATCGTAATGTATCACGCGTTGAGCAGGTTCAAAAGCATTGGGTGTGAGAAAAGCCGACTTCCCCGTGCATTATCTTTTACAAAATATGATGGGACTTCTTGTTAGAACAATCGGCATAACTGTCCCGACAATATCCTTTTGGCAAGGGCTCTGCCATTACTGGGACTAGCATTTAAGCATTTTTACCGAAAGTTTTCATCATCCTGCAACTCCACAACGTTGTAATCAGGTGCTCCCGCCTTACAAAAATGTTGCGTATGAACATTTTTCAGGCGCTTTTCCTCATTTGGATTGTGCGTGACAGGTGTGGGTGGCACTGCCCCTTTCAACCATGATGTAAGCTGTAGCCTACGTCACATCTCACGATATAAAATTATGCGGTATCCCATATCATGGTGTATGATTTGTTTTATGTCACATATCATCTATGCCACATGGCATTATGTAAGATGTCCTCTTTGTCACATCGCATCATGCAAGGTGTTCTCTATGTCACATTTCATTACGCAAGATGTTTTCTATGTCACACATCATGGTGTAAGATGTCTTCTATGTCGCATCGCATGATGTAAAATGTCTTGTATGTCACATGACATGGTGTAAGATGTCTTCTGTGTCAAATATCACGATGTACGAGGCTTTCTATGTCACATCTCATGATGTAAGATATCTTCAATGTCACATCTCATAATGTGAGATATATTCTAGGCCACATCTCATGATGTGATATATATTTTAGGTCACATATAATGATGTAAGATGTCTTCTATGTCACATATCATGATGTGAGACATCTTCCATGTCACATCTCACAATGTGAGGCATCGCAAAATGCATCGCCTTGCCGACCAGCGGGTAAATGGCGGGTGGGCGACGCACGAACTACCAAGCAATATGTGATGTGTGAAAAGATAAGGGTCATTTCAGGACTTCTTATGGTTGATTATGGGAGAGCTTTGCTCAGGTTTTCAAGGGCGATGAGGGGCTTCTGTATCATCGCTACGCGACTAAAGCTGCCCGTTTGCCCATGCTGATGTGGTTGGATCCGAAACATCCACGTACTTGGTGACATTTGGTTGAAAGCAAATGCAAATCGCGTATCTTGTCCAGCATGCGCCGGCACCGAACAAACTTTCGTTGGGGCTCATGTCAAAACTGACGATTTTGACGTGCGCCAAGAGCGTCGCCAACCCGTTCTCCACATTGCCTCGACACTCGCTGAGGTGCGCCACGATTGGCGCCGCGCTGCGCAGAACCTTACGCCAGTACACTCTGACGCATCATCGCGGAACACGCTTCTGCGCTGGCCGTTCAGATGGCATGAGAAGTGCGGGTGAGTACTGGCGGTGTTGAGCCAGTTCTGCCACTCTGGAGTAGATAGACCGAAATGTTGGCGCGATATGCGGCGTTTTCCCTCACTGAGTCTGGTTCGGCTAGTGGCTAGGGAAAATTATGGCGATGTGCATCATCCCTCTGAAGCGTTCTCATGATTCGACAAAACGTGTCTGAAGATGGACCCGCCCATTTCGTCCCGAACCGCCCTGAGGCTGGCACATGACTTGACAAAGCCTACCATGTCCTTTATCTCCACCAAATGGACCTTTCAAGGGAGTGAGCGAGCTTTTCCGTGCAGACTGAATAATGACCTGGGACATGCACGGCGTGACAGCGAATGTCCAAGAACATTCCAAATGGTCATGAAAATAGTATTGCATGTTCACAATGATGCATCCATTTTGGAACGATTGCCAACGAGTAACATTAAAAAGGATCAGGTAGGCTACTCTACTGCACTCGTTCAAATTCAAGATGGAGCTTATATCACGTAAGACGGTGATCAAAAGGGATCGGCCATTTCTCGTACCAGTGGGCCGGGTGGGTACCACCTTTTCCGCGTGACGAAATTTAGGTCGCGTACAATCCACAACGTGAACAAACCAAACGCTTCAAACACCGGGTTCAACTCAGAGCCCACTAAGCACCCGCATCACAGGAAAGGACTTTCAGTGCGGCGTACCCCGAGACACCCAAAGCATGTGGTCGGGACGGCCCAGCGGCGCGCCACAAAACCGTCCCGAGAAGCCGAACCCTGCAATGGTTCACCGCACCCGACCGACACGAAGACACGTCTCCGACTCGCGGTGTGCCCAAGCGCTCAGTGCGAGCCGCTGGCGGCGGCGCGGGCAGAGGCCGCCAGCTGACGGTACCGGCGCCGGCCGCGGGCGGACCGTCAGCTATAAGCGCCCCGCCGCGGCGCCCGGCGGCAGTGACGCGCAGGCAGGCACGAGTTGAGGTCGCCGCTAGCGCGCCAGACAGCGGACGGCGGACGGAGCGCCGGACAGCGGACAGCGGGTCGGACGGCGGACGGAGCGCCGGACAGCGCGCCGGACAGCGGACAACGGGTCGGACGGCGGACGGAGCGCCGGACAGCGCGCCGGACAGCGGACAGCGGGACGGACGGCGGGCGGAGCGCCGGACAGCGCGTCGGACAGTGCAATATGCAGGTGGAGCTGATGCTCCAGCCGGAGGTCGTCTCGCGATGTCTGTCGCTTCACCCGCGAGACCGCGTCGGCTTCCTGCACTGTGTGTGCGAGCACGAGGACCGGCTCGGCTGCCCGTCGGCGCTCGAGACGTCGACAGCGGCGCCGACGACGACGTCGCCGCCGGTGGCGGTCGACTGGTCACGCAGCTACAGCGTCTCGGCCGGGCTGTGCGTGGTCTTTCTGATCATGTGTGTCGTCATCATAGCGCTGCGGGTGCTGCGACGCCGCAGCGAGCCACAGGAAACGAGTCAAAGGTCAGTGGATGAGCTCGTCGGCAGTGCTGCCCGCCCCTGTCCCCCTAGGTGTAAGCACAGGTGAGAGGCACGATCCCTTTGCATTTCTTAGGGCACAATGCTCATCTTGAGGTGGTGCATGGAGCTTTGAGGAGGGTTTCCCCATGCTATTGGATGCTCCCCTATGCCCTTGCATCACACCATTTGCACCGGGGGGGGGGGGGGGGGCGAGCTCTCTCGTATAATGATAAGGTAAGGATGGTGTTGTTTTAGCGGAGAGTTCAGGGCAAGACTTAACTTGTTAGCTCGGTCCTTCCTCAGCTTATGCTGAACCCACACAAACTCCTGCGATCTGCTTGGGGCGGGCATCGTCACCTGGTCGTCAGAACCCTGGTTTAGTGCCTCCCCACGGCTGGTCCCCTGTGCTGACCGCGCGACCTCGGGGTGGTTCGTGATGTGGCCGCCAAACGCGCTGTTCCACTAGCCGCTGGCCGTCAGGCTCCGTCGATCAATCGTTCACTCCCGGTGTGCGCCGCTGCGCCGCCTTTGTCTCCTTCCATGCGCCGACAAGGCAATATCTGAGCGCAGGTCCTCAGCCCGCTCGCGCTGCGCTGAGCTCTTTGTCTCGGTCCGCGCGCTCTGCTGTTCGACGTCTTTGTTGCGGGACAGCAGGCAGACTGCATAAGTTTTCTTGGGGGAAGGGGGTGTGCGAAGGTGCATTGTGCAGACGATGCTGACAGGCAAACTGTTATCTTTCTCCCTTTGCGCGACGATGTCTGTGGAATTGCAAGATAGGCACAGAACTCCGTTGACTAAGTGACAAGGCTGAGCCCGTCGTCCTGTCTACATGTGTACAATGTCATGGCGGTCTGGGAGCAAGCTGTGAATCATGTATTGACTCATCACGTGATCATACTTCCGTCGGGTGAGATGTGTCCGGCAGGACAGTGCTGCGGCTCTGAACATTCGTAGACGCGGTAGGCCCTGGCAGGCGTAAGAGTTGAACTCGCACGCGCTCGGCTGTCTTGGCGAACACCCGAAGTGCCGTGTTAGGTACCGGTCTGCGGTCACACACAGCGCGCTAGTCAACGGGCCGCGCCGGACCCCGTTATCTCTCGACACTGAGGTCGCTGGGGTCACGACCTCAAAGCCGGCACGATGCTGTCGGTTTTGGAGCCATTCGGGAGACCCGGCTGTGGCTCATCGGTGCAGTCTATCGCTCAGCAAACACAGCCGTCGCGTTCTCACACTCGGTGTGGCTCGGCTCATCCATCCATTCATTTCTGGGTGCGCGCGTTCCGGCATAAGCTGCCTGAGCGTAAAACCTGCGGGTTTTGCAAGCACCTTTTGCCGTCGGACAGACCGATCCACCGATGTCCGGCGTACAAGCCGAACCATCGATGCAGCTGACGGGCCTGTCCGCCGGGCTTACATCGGTGCGAGCGAGGAGGCTGTCGCAAAGGTCAACCACGTCCGCCGCGCGCTCTGTCTGCTTCAAAGCAGACCATGTCACCCAGCAAACTCCAGACGAGGCCTCCAGCAGCCTCCAGACGCCTGCTGCACCGGCGTTTTGCCAATCACCACCTGCACCACCGCTCCGGCTGCTTCGGAAGGCGGGCGGCGCGGCCGGCCGGCACGGTCGCGGCACGGTCCAGTGCCCTGCCGCTTCCCGCGAGGTCGTCCCACACGGTTCAGCGCCGCCGCAGATGGGCGGCCGTCCCGGTTCGGGTGACCTCAGGTCACGCTCGGGTGCCTGGCTGCACGCTAGGCCGGCCGCCGTGCCGGTCGCGGCGCGCGGCGCTAGAGGTCACGCGGGGTCAGACGGGGATCAGGCAGGGTCAGCCGGCGGCAGCTAAGGTTACCCAGCTGTGGTGGGTCGGTTAACTCAGGAGGGAAGATCAAAGGCCGTCGCAGAGAGCGCTGAGCGCCGCAATGGTTCGTTTAGCGGCATTGTTTGCCGCTTGTTGCTCGTGATAAGTTTTGATTTCCACGGTTTCTCAAAGCAGCGACCGGCGCCACCAAGAGCGGGATATCCTCCAAGCGGGGATATCCTCCAACAGCACCGCTGCATCCCGCCTGGGCGACATCGGGCCACGCTCCTCCCCTCCCCTCCTCCCCTCCACCGGCGTCTTGCGAGTCACGTTCTCGCCACCGGGCGGCGTCGCGTGACGAAGCGTTACCGGGTGCGGCGACGGCGGAGACGACCGCGGTTACCGGTGTCCGCGCTAGGGCGCGCCGAACACTACTCGGACGTCAGGGCCGATGCAGCCGCGCCGGACGGAAGTGACGGCGCCCTTCGTGGCCGTTAGTCACTGTGTGCTGCGCAAGATCCTGACCCAGTTGGTGGGGCAGCGCGCCCTCCGAGGAGCGGGTCATATCCGGACTCGAGCCTGCGCCGATCGGGCCGACCTGTTTTTGTGGAGCCGGACGTAGGAGCGTGAGCGCGCGCATGCACTCTAATAGGAGGCATCGGAATGAGGACTGATGGCTTCCAGACTTTTTCCAGAGCACTTCCCAGTGGCTCTTTAAGTGGCGTCACTGACTTGTTCATACTGCATGCGGCTACTTGTATAGTGTAAGGTGTATTATAAATAGGTGTGCACTTTGATCACGATTTAAAATCATCTTTATCAATTAAAAGCTACTTCAATACGCTGACGACAGCTGTCGCCATAGGTGTGGGGACCTGTCTTCCTTTTGCGGACACATATATCTATCGACTGGGAGTTGGAGGCTTTAAAGTCGCTTTAAAGCCCGCCGGTTCAAACTGGTACACAGGGGGTATTTGGCTTCCTGTCCTTGACATTTTATCTTTGACTTTCTATATGTCGGTCCGCTTTCCACTGGGGAACACTTAATGTCCTCCGTGGTATTTCTCACAACTTTCACAAAAGTAAGTCAGAAATCTGAAATTACAGTTTCATCAAATTTCCGAGAAGCCCTGTGCCAAAATAGGTTGCATCATTTCAGGTGGAGGAAAAATGGCGTCACTGAAATGGCCGGTGACGTACATGCTTTGGCGCGTTCAGTCTCAGCGAGGCACCAAACCTGGATAATTTTCCAAAAATCATGACACGGACTCGGCCCGTGACGTCATTAGTAATCCTCGGTGATCGGCAGACTGCCCCCGGAGATATTCTTGGACGAAGATGGAGAGGATTTAATGCCTTTTTCCACCAACAACCGAGGACGGTCACTGCTCCAGAACTACATGAAATAATTATATACCCCAGTATTATATGGCACTAGAGCCGACTGAACCGAATAGGTCTCAGTTTGATTAGTGATTTCAAGTGCTAATCCCTGACACGGGCGTCACGGGCCCTTACTGGGTGACATACTTATCCCGGCCGGTGAGCATTCAGCACCACGATCGAAGCTCAGCACGCCCGCGCGCCCGAGCGCGTGACGCCGTCTGGCGGCTCCGCGCGGACCAGACGCCGCGCAGGCGGCCGCAATCCTCTGAGATCGGCCGGCGCTCCTCCTGCGCATCGCCCACCACGTCACCGCTCCGTGACGTCACCAACCCGTGACACCATCCCGGCCGACCGGAGACCGCGCGGCCGGAAGGATTCCCCGCCACGTGCCACCGGCGCCGTCACGATGACATCACGGATCGGCACATGCCGGCGGCACGCGGCTGCCGCAGGATGAGTCCTCTGGTCCGCGGTGTCGCGCAACGGGACGCTGGGTAGCCCCACGACTACGTCAGAAGTTCCGGCCTGGAAACGGCCGCCCCGTCACGGGTTCGCCGAGTGTCGCGGCCGATTATGGATCCGACACTCCCCAAGATGACCATGGATGCCTATCACATTGCAGCTTTACGTCCGTGACTCATGGGTGCAGGCGTTTCCAAATGGAGCGTGCGCTCTATGAACGAATAGTGACAACGCCGTGCAGTCCCAGCACAAAAAGCGGTCTTGCCATCGCTGGTCTAGCGGAGATGAAGGCGCCTCTGCGTTGGCAGACAGCCTAAGAGGGAACAAGACTTGCATACCGGTGACTGACAAGGTCATCTGTGTAAGGGCGGGTGGTTTAGATTATATAGGATTAGCGCTGAGTCGCCGGGGTTTCCCCGCTAGACGTCCGGGACAGCAGTGCGCTGCTGCTGCCGCCTGGTGGCTGACCCGGGGCACTGGCAGTCACAGCCATGCTGGAATAGGTTGCTGGACCTCTCACAAGACCGTGTGCTCAACTGGCCACTTCTCCCCCCCCCCCCCCCCCCCCTGCCGTGCCGCAATTGACAAGAATGCTAGTAGGCGCTTATCAAACGAATATTCTGACTAGTGGTCCCACCGAGACATCCCAGATAGAAGAATATCGAACGTAGGGCCGACGCACGACAGAAACAGAACCGGCTTGCAACGATGGGCATTCTTTTCCGTCGAGGCGGTGTTAAGATCAAATATCGCACGTAAGGCGAAGCGGAAGTAGACGTACGGGAGTGTTCTGCATGACCGCCAGCGCGCTTCCTTCTTCCGACATCTCCTTATCAGCGTGACTTAACAGGAGGGCCTCTCCATGTAAATGGTGTGCACGACGTCCCTGGCCTACTGCCTTCTGCACGTGAGACCGTCTCCTAACTCAACCCATGGCCGGCGCCGCTCCTGCCGAGAGCAGCCTGCTCGGCCCTAGCCCGGCGGGTTCCAGTCTTGTCTGGTGCAGCTTCCGCCAAATCGGTTGGCCAGTCTCAGCTCTTAAGGCTGAGCAGTTCATCTGGGTGTCCTGGAAATTCTACTCCAGAAAAGAAATGAAGCTTAAAAACTCGGTAGATAAACGACTAACTACTTCGTCGCTATTTTGCATTTAAAGATGCGCCGTGACCACTTCGAAAACAGTTCGGGGCCTTCAGCCAAGTCCTCCAGTTGTATACAAAACTTACACCGTTACCATGCTCTGCCTCCAACCTGTTTCCTACTGCAGCTGGTGGATGCGAAGCGGCTGTCTTAAGACATGCCTACATCAGTTGCATTGACAGCCTTTAACCGACTGACTTGGTGATTTGATTGTAAGCAGCCTCCTCCAGCGCATCACGATCATTGTCGTCCCGGCATTGGCAAATTACTGTCACCCTTCACGGCACGACCAAGGTGCGCTACCCACCGACTCCGTCATGTCAGCTCTTCGTGACGTGACCGCGCCCCTCTCGCGAGCTGTGCGCCCCACTCACGGTGTTCTCCCCTCCGGCAGTGGGACTGCGGCGCGCCCGGCGGCCGACTCGGACCCGCCGCCGTACGACGTGGTGGTGCAGCAGCCGCCGCCCTACCTCAGCTTAGAGCCACCGCCCTACTCGGAGCTCGATACGGACAAGTGCCCCGCGGCGCTTGCGTGCGGCCGCCCCGGCAGCGGGCTCGCGTCGGTGATCACCGACCGCGCGACGGCGACCCCTGACCCTGAGGTGGGGGTCAGTGACCCTGACGCGACGGTCAGCGACCCTGACGCGACGGTCAGTGACCCTGACGTGACGGTCAGTGGCCCCGAAGCGGCGGGCCGTGGCCTGGCGTCGGAGTCGGGGGCGGGCGGCTTGGACACAGCACCGGAGGCGTCGCCGGAGAACAGAGACGGGTGTGCGGCGTGACGGGGAGCGAGTACAACGCCTCCCCGAGGAGGACGCTCCTCGGACGCTGATGCTCAAGATGTCTGCAGATGGATGTTCAGCTAGTGGATCTGGATGGCGCCTCTTGGTTGTGTGATGGGGATACAAAAGTGGTGTCCCGTTGTTAGAGACCTCCAGTGCACATTTTGCCTTGGATGCCTCGCTATTCGTCATGTTCACCATGCTGCAGTGCGGCGGCTTCAGGAGCTTATCACCTTGTTGGAAGGTTGTTGAGTGTTACTGTTGCGTGATATTTGATGGGTTAGTCTGACATGAGAATTCCCTCGGGCTGTGCAGAGGTACCTTATTCAGTAACTCACAGGACAAGCTCCATTCCCATGAAAACACGCCGACCGGCTTCTCAGAGCTGTATCATTGGAAGCCCCTGTCGTTTGCTAACCTGGGCCCCTCGTATCATGCTGGTTAGCGGGAATTTGAGCGCACCTGTCCTGTTCGTGTATTGTATGTGTGTTTGCGTTTGGTCTCTGAAGAAGGCCACGCTCTGGTCGAGCGTGTGTCGTTCTGGCATTGTCTTCTTGTTGCAGCATTGTTGTATGCCCCAGAGCCCGCCCACACCCTTGGTGTTGTTTTTTTATAGTAGCGAGCGTGCGGTGTATTTATTCATGGACAGACGTCACACATGTTTGAAAAAGAATATATGACTCGAACTGTACGCTGACTGGTCTGTTCACTTAAAAAAGAAGAATTTAAGTGCAGTTGCAACTAGTCAATGACAAATATCGGCTATCAAATTTGAAGGTGGGATGCTAATTATTTTTTTAACAACGGCCACCGCGTGCGCCGGCTGTAAATAACCCGAAAATATATTTCACAAACAAGGAAGCAAAAGGAAAAGCAGCATTTAACCACCAATACACCAGAGCGATGCAATCGTCCGCACAACGAGTATGTGTCAGAAGAAACTAGCTCGTGCTCCTGACACCGGCCAGCCTGAGCTGATGCCTGTCCGGTCCGGCCTGTCGGCGCAGAGAGCTGCGTCCGCCGTCTCCGCTGTTACGAGAGGGATTAACTCGACATTTGGGAAGCCCGACCAAACAGGGTGATTTACGACCACTAATCCTGAATGTTTGCTGTAGCACTCAAGGACAGATGGATAAGCAGGGGCCCTGACGTCGACTTATAATAACCTTCTCGACGGAAAACTGCAGTCATTTTAACCCGTGGCCGCCTCTAAGGGCATTGGTACCACCTTTGCCGTTTGCAAGAACCTTTGAAACATTCCAGGCAAGCCAGCTACACTTTGGAAGCTGTTAAGCGATCAGAATGACACGTTGCGACACTTTTATCCCACTTCTGGGTTAGGTTATGGAGATATGACATCATTATTGAACGTTCGCGCAACTGTCTGTGTTCCTGTCAGAAGTAAGTCGAAATTTCCTTTCCTGATCTAAATTTTTCACGTATCACGTCAACTGGTCAGACTTTACTCCGTTACGTACTTCGTTATAAGATTTAATGCGAGCTTTTTAAATGGCTGCGTTTCTGGGTACGGAGCTCTCGTGAAGCAACGCTGTTATGCGAACCCTGACCCCTATCATCTAATGTCTGATCACTAATATATAACATGTCTGACTGTACTCTAGATCAGAATCTTACTCACAATCAGTATAAAAATCGCACCATATACATCTGGTGGGTCGCACAGACATTATGTGAAGTGACGACAAATGTACACGGTCGCCGTCCTCTGTCCTCTGACGTCACGTTAACTTTAGCGTAATCACTGCCACGGACACAGGTCATACCTGTCAAGCGCAAACAGCGGGCTTTTGAAGCAGCTTGAACCCAATCTGCCACCGGTGGCCGGATCGGGAAGAAGGTAAACCCGAGACAACAGTCAAGTAAACCTGAGAGTAGCGAACCTGAGATAACACCGTGTTGGCCAGTGGTGATACGTCGGTTACCCTCACACCTTTTCAATCTAATGATACTGTTAGGCTCGTCAGAGGTCACATGGATGATGCTCAAAAGTAGAACATCCTTTTGAAAGATCTTACGTGACCTTGACCTGAATTACCGTTGACTTGATTTAACCTTGGACCGGACCTTTGTTAAACGCTGTGATATGTCTATCACGCAGAAGAAGACAATATTTCGACCGTCTTCTGCCGTTGTCCTCGGCACCCAGCTCCCATGTCGTTGCCCTACCTACACCGGCTTTCAGTTGTGCCCGTCCAAGGTCACGTAACTATTACAGTAACTGCGGCAGGACCACGAAGCAGCCGAACTGTTCTGAGTTGTTTGACATTATATCCTTTGGTGACAGTTCATATACCCAGCAGTTTAAGCATAAAAATGACCGTGAGGTATGCCGGTCATCGTTTCAACTATTTCAATGTATGAGCATATCGGGGCATAACAGGACTGCTTCGTTACGAGAAAGCCAAGGCGGTCGCGGGAGGTGCACGACGCTGCTGGCGAGACCGGGCTACGGCTTTGAGAATTTTCTCAGCCCTTTGCCAGTTCTCAGCATGCAGGACGTGCATGTCGTGACCATTGAGTAAGTGTGCCAGACAGGACACCGAGCGGCCGCACGACAGTGATCTGTAGAATTAAAACCGGTTATGTTCGGTTTATCTTGATGGCACTTCGCTGCAGGGCTGAGGGGCGGATGCTTGTCCAGCGAATGGGAGCTAACAGTTTGGACCGTGACTGCCAAATCCTTATCGGACGACAGATAATCTAGCGTGAGCACGCAGCCAGGAGTTTTCCCTGGGGAGTTTGTCAAGTTTTGACCGAACTTCCGCGAATGCGAGCAGGGTTTCTGTAAAATCCCTCCATATCTGGAGCAAGACTCTTGCCTCAGAAGTTTTACCCTTGGCCGGATACCAGCTTCATCGAGCTGACCGTCTTGACAGCGGAAGACACGGCTGGGTGGTGCGACGGCCTGCGTCGGTATAAGCGTTTGCTTCGTCTAGGCTACCACTGCTGCCGACAGTCTCGACCACAAGTTAGACTTTTTCGGATGTCAAGACGAAACGTTGCTCACACTTGCTGAATTGCTGACCCATTTTCAACATATGACTCTTTATTGAAGCTGGAATGACCCCGCTGAATACGTTTGATGTGATTGGAATTTTGACCATTCTCGGACCCAATTACATTTCCTACGTACCCACTCGACCGGCTCCACAAACGATGTCTTCACCACCCATTTTCGCGATGTTGTGTAGTGCTGCCGTAACGAGCTTTTCACTTCAGTCCGCGAAACATTACGCTCAAGTGGCCCAATTTTGTCCCCATCTTTTGCATGTTATCGACGCCCCTATCCATCAGGTCCATGCAATCCGGAGCCCTAGCGCCACCGTGGTAATAGACAAAACTAAGGTTTTGTTGTCTCGCCGCCATGAGGCGCTAGCTGAACTTGGACCGATCCCGACCGAGCACAACCAGGACGTGAACTAAGCCACGCGTTCCTCGACCAGACGCGACTGCAGTGGTGATGCGGGGCGGCGTATCCGTGGAGGTGGGCGTGAGCGACTGCAGTGGCGATGTAGGGCGGCGTGTCCGTGAGGGTGGGCGACAGCCGACATGTGCGACTTATCAAACGGATCGTCGGGGGTACAAAGGTCACCCGTCTGCTGCCCCAATGCTGCAGTGGACGATCTCAGCTGATCGTTTGTTGACGGAGACACGAGAATGGCCGTAATGCGCCCCCCCCCCCCCCCCAATGTGGGATTAAGCCCCCGAACGGTGGGTTTGCCCCCTCCCCCTGCTCAACCTTCTGGTGCCAGAGAACAAAGAGGGCATTAAAAATAAGAAATCCAAATTACATCAATTTTGAACAAGGCTTTTACTCATTGTTTCACAGATAAAGTTAGCAAAACTGACGGGACAAATCACGTTGTAAATTCTCCGCGTTGGTACCGGGTTTAGTTAAGTTTTTCGTTTATTTTTTTGCATGATGCATGCTTTTAGTTACACGAACAATGTCTCTTATTAACGCTGACATAGTTTTGTGCTTTTGTCTACGTGTTTTGGCAGTATTCAGTGATGTTCAGAGGTCCACAGACTGCAGTAAGGTGCGTTATTTTGACAAGATACAACACGATGTCCTGTCGGAAATTGAAAACAACGCGGTTAGATGTTGAAACCCAAAAGCATGAACAAATTCTTAGCCGGCAGCGAAAGAGCTATTGAAATGTGCCGACCTCCAATTTGACGTGACATTCGATGAAAAACTTACGAAAACTTGACGATAGATACCAGCCGACTTAACTGTAGGCGTCAGTTACCCGGCAATGACCACCAAAACAGCACTAGCCGTGTCGAACATACCTAAAGTGCTGCGTTGCAGCCCGCAGCCCGCTTTTCGGCCACCAGCCGGATATTTCCGTGGCAGCCTTTAATAGTCGTGCACATCAACCCAAGTGGTAGAGGCCTTTAACTCTATTTACTTCCAAAGCCATACACGTCCAACAACGTCTAAAGCCACATCGACCCCGCGACGATTACCGAAGCCCAGTTTCGACGATCGACGCCAAGCAAAGAGGTAATGATGCCCCCATGACAACCTCGTCCACCGAGGCAGAGCGAGGAAACGTATTAGAGCAGTGCTTCAACTTCCTATTTAATTGGATGGCAGTCCAACTTCATTACGTTGAGAGGAAAGTGGGTCCAATCTGGGAAGAAGCTTATCTTTTAGTGCACTTATGGCTAGGATTCCTCGTTCAGCCTCGTAGCCTGTTTTGCGAGACAACACTTCTTTGGTGGAGGCTTCACGACCATGGCACGTGGCGGATTCGCCACCAGGTTATTCCATCGTCAGGTCTGGTACTCAGGGCCCATTTCTCAAGCAGGGACGAGGCCGGGGCTCGTGATTTACATTCGTCGGCGTCCCTTACGACTACAGTCAGTGCTACGACTGCAGTCAATGTGCCAATTCTTGGACCACGTGCGGCGATCAGCGATGTTGTTGCGTCATTGAGGGTTCCTGTGTCGATCCTTGGTCAACTGTGGTCTGCATGGGCCCAGAAGACCTCCCGCGTCAGGAAGGGACCAATGTGATACGATGCATCCCTTTAAGGGCTTCCAGATCGGCCAGGGAATCCCGTCCGTGTCCCGAGAATGGCAGCCGGAAGACACACCGCGGTGGGACAGAATGGCCCTTCTGCCCCTGGCCGGGAGAAAACGTGCGCCCCGAGTGTTCTACTCTCCGCTCCGGAGAGAGGGGCTCTCTGCTACTAAGAGGAGAGAGAGAGAGAGAGGGGGGGGGGCTCTCCGCGGAAATGAGGGGCTGAAAAGTGTTGGCTAGTGTTGAAAAGATTGAGTCGAAACGAGTTCAAAATAAACAAAGCCATCCCAATTTTACCTGAGAACGCTTATAATTGCCATTATTTATTATCCTTATTATTTTGCAAAATCGACTGGTGAAACAAATTATCAAAATATTTGAACCTATGTGGCCGCAATCTCCGAACCACAGACAGCGGTTGCCTGGGTTGCAGTTTCTGTAAAACCGAGCGGTGTTGGCCACAGCAGTTAGCACCAGGCGGCGGGCGCCGTGCGCGCGAGAGCGATCACCGTGGAATATTACTTCCGAATGCTTTAAAAAACTAATTCATATCGTTTGAAAATTAGGCTGGGCGTATCTGGGCAGACGGGCTGGAGATTGCAACGCCTTTTGTCGGGTTTTTGCTAACATTTGCCAGCGTGCATGCTCAAAACTACATTACATAATTTGTTTCACTAATCAATTCTAACGGAACGTTGAACACTTTCAGACCAGCGTGGCTTGGCCATGTTAATATAGATTGTTGATCCATTGTGATCTACATTCGCGGAGTCCATAATGTATCTGTAGTCAGAAAAGAAGACTGACAAAGCTTCTGAGTTCTGTCGGTTTAGGAAGGGATCATTGTAATCGTTTGCAATCTGCTGGATCGTTGTAAAATGAAGAGCGACGGCAATTTATTTCATGTAGTTGCGTAAGGTATGATTTCTTCAGTTGATTGACTGTAAAATTCAGGCAGTATTGATCTCGCAGTGTCTGCCGGCTTTTATTCCAGTTGTAGGAGGTAAAAATGGGAATATCGAAGAAAAATATGATCTCATTAGCAAATGGGTCATATTCTGCGATCTTTATTTGAGGGAGCCGTTACCATCAGAGGGCTCCTTACCAGCCCTGTGCCCCTCCCTTGCCAGGGCTCTGGCTGGGTACCTGTACTCCGGTGCGTCGAGTGTGGAAGACTCGACCGAAGAAGAGGACTAGAAGACTGAAGAAGACTGCCAAACAACTCATAAACCACCAAACTGTGTGCCGTTCATACTAGCGTTAAACCGGGATGCCTGAGGGCATGTATTGCACAATCGGACAGCGTGTTAATCAAAGGCACAAACGCGGCGCAGACGCACCGAGCGCCGGACTCTTCCGCTAATATGCAGAAAAGTGGGGAGGAGCCGACGATGCTACCGGTGCGTAAAGATGTAAAAGGCTTGGTGTCTTCCCTCAAGCGTCGGCTTTTCGATTCCACGTGAAACAAGTGATGCTGTCGGCATAGTTGGCCACATTTGGACCTGTGAGTTTTGCGCTGTGGTTATATGCTGTCCATCAGTTCATATGGTGTGCACGTGCACGTGTTTCCTTGCCAGTGACTGGACTGTTCTTTTGCTATGATCCCTGTATGTTTAATTTATCACGATGTGCCTAAGTAAGAAAAACATGTGGATTTTATGGCAAATACGTTGTCATCAATGCCGTGCATAAGCAATGACTGCATAAGTTTTTGAAGTAAAGGCAAGAACGGGTGCAAGTTTTTTTTTGCCGCGTAGCACTCGTACATAACTACTGGTAGCAGAAACAATGTCTAGGCGCTCTTGTCTCGGCATTTTGCGAAACAAAGAGAACCGGTCCAGTATTACAGAACGAGACTTGACTGAGGGCTATTTTGATTCAATTTGTTCATGCCCAGCTACGCACAGACATAATGTTAAATCTCCTCAAATGTTGGGAGCCAGGCCCGTGATGCCATTCACTGCGTGTGTGTTATCATTTTGGGTTCTCAGGCACGGATTCTGAGGCTTTAGAATCCATTTCCGGAATTCCAAGGTCTTCAATTTATTCCCGCCCAATCACCGGAATTCGAGTACACTTTTGCCTACCACTATTCGACAGTGGACGAGCCACATCAGGTGTGTGATGCTGCTGTGCCTCCAAGACGTTCATAAACGCCGGCTTATAAGCTCGTTGGGTGGTTTTGTCGCTCGATTTCCAGAGGTTTCTACAGGTCTATGACACTTTGGAGCGGTATTACTTCATGTGGCAAGCACCGTTAACGCAATAAAAAACGGTATGCATCGTGAAGGACGTATTAGAAATGTGACGTGTCTCACACGTGAACAGCGTTTGACGGTGTTGCTCCTAAGGCATGTGGGTATTGCCTGGATCTTGTTCAATCGTAGCATTGTCAATTGAGGGCTGTTCCTAAGGCGCATGTTTTGTGCCTCGACCACTTTATGTAGCAGCGTATCCAGCATCCATGCCCAATCCTACTAGCAGCACGCGTCTATACGAAAAACATATCTGAGTAATCACATAGATCACCAAGCCACAAAAATCATAAATTGCAACGAAAGACAACTTCACTCGGGCACCGTTACTAGACCTTGATACTCATGCGTCTTTTTCAGTGTCGAACGTCTTCAGGGAGTATGACATCAGCAACAGGGCGTGGCCTCACGGACGGCAAAGGCGTCTGCTTTCTTTCCGCTTGCACGGAAAGAAAGCAGACAAAACTGCGCCTGTGTCCACGCCCAGCCTCCATTCGTCGGAAGATTAGCCGCCACCACGCATGACATTAACAATGTCTTGTGATTGCAGTCATCGCACATTAGGCGGCTCAGCCATCATGCGTTAGGTTCAGGCAGTGATCCTTTGGCGCCCGTTGACGCCCAGCGCTGCGATCGAGCCGTCCTCGTCCGTCTTCACCTGACGGTTAGTCGGTGCTCGGGACCGGAACACCGCGAGAGCACGCCAGTTGCACGGCCCCGCGAACACGCTGACACACAGCACCCAGGTCTGGTCCCCGAGGTCACTCCGTCGGCGTCTCACACAGCACCCAGGCCTGGTCCCCGCGGTCACTCCGTCGGCGTCTCACACAGCACCCAGACCTGGTCCCCGCGGTCATTCCGTCGGCGTCTCACACAGCACCCAGACCTGGTCCCCGCGGTCGCTCCGTCGGCGTCTCACACAGCACTCAGGCCTGGTCCCCGCGGTCATTCCGTCGGCGTCTCACACAGCACCCAGACCTGGTCCCCGCGGTCATTCCGTCGGCGTCTCACACAGCACCCAGACCTGGTCCCCGCGGTCATTCCGTCGGCGTCTCACACAGCACCCAGACCTGGTCCCCGCGGTCACTCCGTCGGCGTCTCACACAGCACTCAGGCCTGGTCCCCGCGGTCGCTCCGTCGGCGTCTCACACAGCACCCAGACCTGGTCCCCGCGGTCATTCCGTCGGCGTCTCACACAGCACCCAGACCTGGTCCCCGAGGTCACTCCGTCGGCGTCTCACACAGCACTCAGGCCTGGTCCCCGCGGTCGCTCCGTCGGCGTCTCACACAGCACTCAGGCCTGGTCCTCGAGGTCACTCCGTCGGCGTCTCACACAGCACCCAGACCTGGTCCCCGCGGTCGCTCCACCGGCGTCTCACACAGCACCCAGACCTGGTCCCCGCGGTCGCTCCGTCGGCGTCTCACACAGCACTCAGGTCTGGTCCCCGCGGTCACTCCACCGGCGCCGTACGACCCGGGCGGCCTGCGCGGCGCTGGTGACGCCGACCAGCGACGCTAGCGTCGCCAAGCAGCCAACCATGAAGGTGAAGTTCCGCGCGTCGATGATGGCGCCAGCGGTCACGGGCCCGAGCACGTTGCCCACCGACGCGACCGTGCCAAAGACGCTGCACGTGAACGCCTGCGTCGTGACGTCGGCCGGCAGTCCCTGGCGCACCGCCGTCGCGATCATGCGGTTGAGCACGGGCACGTACGCGCCGCCCTGGAAGATCTCCTTGATGGTGAGGCCGAGGCCGAGCAGCCACCAGGAGGGCGTCAGACCGAGCCCTGGCAGTGGCGGGATCAGCGCCAGACCCAGCGCCGTGGCGAACAGGCAGCCGGCGATCATGACGTACGTGTTGTGCAGCCGGTCGGCCAGCCGGCCCCAGACCAGGCTGGAGAGCGCATAGGCGCCGGTCGCCACCAGGAAGTAGAGTCCGATCTGCGCCGGGGTCGTGCCGATCGCGTCGCTGGCGTAGCGCGCGATGCTCGAGTCGATGGCGGTCCAGGTGGCCGCCGCGGTGAACACGATCGCGCAGCACAGCCAGCTCTCGCCGGCCGAGGCGAACGTGCGCAGCATGGCCCAGAAGTCGCCGGAGGACCGGCGCGGCACGGCCACCTCGGGCAGGTAGAGGACGCTGAGCACCACAAGGGCCAGGATGAAGCAGCCCTGCGAGAAGAACGGCAGCCCGAAGCCTCCGAGGCTGTACAGGCCGGCGCCGATGGCGGCGCCCAACGAGAGCCCGATGGCGTTCATTGTCTCCATCACGGCCACAGCCGTCGACGTGTTCTCCGCGAACTGGTTGGCGGCCATGGTGAGCGCCGTAGTAATGACGGCCGCCGTGCCGATCGCCTCGAACACGCGCACTGTGTAGCAGGCTGCGATGAAGGTCGTCGCGCTCTCCAGCCGGAAAAGCAGCCCAAACACGATGTTTGAGACGGCCGTCATGCTCATGCCGATGCAGTAGAGCCGATTGATGCCGACGCGCGGCACCAGCCTCCCGATCACCGGGTACGTCACCAGCTGCGTGAAGGAGAAGATGCTGAACACGCCGCTGGTGAGCGTCTGCGAGATGCCACGTCGCTGCGCCTCCAGCGGGAAGAACGGGATCATCATGGCCAGGCACGAGCCGGCCAGCAGGCTGCCCATGGAGAACACGAGCATGAGCAGCTTCTGGCGCCATGAGTAAGTGCGCTTCGCGGCGCCGCTCGCCGCCGGCGCGTCGCCGAACGTCTGGTAACCGAGCCCCGCCAGGCTGCCGCCATTTTCTCCGCCGGCGCCGGTGTCGCTGCCGCTGTTCCAGCTGCCCAGGCCGTCACCAGAGTGGACCAGACTGGTGAGCAGATCAGGCCCGTCGGCCGCGCTCGTCTTGCCCATGGCTGGCACCACCGCTGCCGCGCGCGGCGCGTAACGAGCCGCCCAGCCGCGTAACCCCCTCCCTCACCGGCCGCTGCCGAGCCACTGGCTCAGCCGCGGTCGCAGCAGGCGCCGGCGGGCGGCGGCCATCGGCCATCAGGCCCGCACTCAGCGCGGTGGGCGGCGCCGCATGGGCGGCACACCGGGGAGAGGAGCCAACTTTGTAAATTGAGCCTGACGTCTGGAGGTGACGCGTGGGAAGGAATGCGCGAAAACCCTTCTCGATTCGCCATTGCACTTTTTGTCTTGGCGGGCGCCTGGCGCGGGCCCGAACGGGGACGGCGGGCGCCTCTCACCCATCGGGTTCTCTGCCTCAGCTGGTGCACTCCCACTCGTCGGGGTTCTCAAGGTAGACGGTCGTCTCCGGTGCGCTCGCCCGTATCACGCGGTTTTTTTCTCCTGCTATCTCGCTGACCACATCTCTACTCAGAAACACGCCTTGTTTTACCGTGATTGCGCTAAAACCGGCGTAGCCGAAAGAACAGGGTGAGAGTGCGTGCACTTGTCGTGATTGCGTGATAACATGCGGTTCTTTCGCGTACATGGTGCCCTTTACGACGCCGCTTGACAGAGGCGAGTTCTCCCTTGGATAGGAATTGTCCTACCGACCCCAGCTGCTCCATGCCTTGCCCAATAAGGCTTCCTTCGATAAAATATGCGCTCAAAAGTGAACTGTCCGCATTGAATCTCATGTATTGCATTTACTGTATTGTTCTGTATTGATTATTTAAGTCATTCGGTGACGCTCCGTGCCTAACAAAACTCAAGAAGCCCACAGCCCGGTGCTCAAATCATTGCCACTTACAGACGCTTTGCACTGCTAGTGTTCCGTGTTTCTGGATGAAGCACAATTCTGGGTGATCTTCGGACAGTCCTGAAAAATTGTTTGGCTCTGTCTCGAAACGACCGCTTTCGTAGCAGGTGAACCTCGCTCCAATCTCATCATCCTCGCACCCTAGCTTGAGCACCAATCACATCATCCACTCATTGCATTCCTCACACGACCGTCAAAAGCCCAGCCCCTCTTCCAAGCTCCCTCCGCCCCACAGGTCGCGATCGAGCCTTCCCTTCTTACCCGGACACCGGCGCCCGCAAGCTGGCCGGGCCTTTCCTGCACTCTCTCCTCCTCACGTCCTCTCCCCGGGCTTATGAAGCGACCGGCGCGAACGGCGTCTGCCGCCCGCGCCTCTTTCACAACAGGCGTGGGACTTTTGATTCACGCCGAGTGTTCCATTTGCATCCGGTGATTCTCCGAATAGCTGAATGAGATCCTCTTCACACAGGGCCTGAGATGATTTCGTTGAATTCTTCAGAGAGCGCAACGAAATGCAACGGAGCAGTAAATCGGGGGCGTCCGCTCCACGCTTATGAGCAGGGCCCTGGACGCGCACATGCCAGGTAGCGCCACCGACGTCGCAGTCACGGACGCCAACCGGTCCGGTGGGACGGTTCGGCCTGTTGCTAGCCTTGCTATGTGAACAGCTCCGGCAAGCCACAAAAGGCGCACTTTGCCTTGCCAACGGGCGTCTGGACGTACGAGGCATTTTACAAATCATTCATTGTTTTTATATTGTTTCATTGTCGTCAGCAAGCGATGTTCGTTCATAGGCGGAGTGATCGGGATGGTCCTAGAGACGTGTAAAGACTTGTCTATACCTGGACACAGCTACGGCGGAAGATTTCTCGGGGTGAGGCAAAAGTGAACTAAAATTGAACTAAAATTGTATGCAGGTGCCCGTTGATGTTTCAATATTACTCATTCGTTGTCCTCATGCTTTCCATGCATTTCATTCAGGGCTGTTTTGCATAACTAGCTGGAGGATATTATTCCTCATGATTGTGAGCTTCGTAATTCATGTGAAGAAGAAGCCAGCACGCAATGTCCGCAGACAATGTCCAGGCCTTCACGATGAAGAATACATTTCTTACAGGGAAAAGGCAAACCTGCATTTAATCTGAGGTTCAAGCCATCAGTGCCGAGATTGGAAAGTAAAAAAGCCGAAATGCACGTTACGTCAAAGTGATCAGGTCTACATAGAATAGCGTATGTGGTTCAAGGCCCCAGGTCTCACAGATGACGGTGGTTTTTTTTTGCAACACATTTTGCCGGGTTTCCGGTCTTTTAAAGCCTATTACGAAAGAACTGACCATTCAATAACGTCACGCATGCATATTACTTGAAAATTTCAAGGAACTATTTGTAACGAAGACAGAACCTATCCTCAGTTTTACTTCGGTGATTCTGAAATTCCACCCACGCAACCGATCCGGTTATCCGTCGACCCAATAAACCGGCTAGCGGCGACCCACCCAGTCTGCAGTACGGCCCGCCTGCCCCAACCCAGCGCTTATCGCGCCGGTCGCAATGTACATGCATGCATGCCGGCCCATCAAATGTCTCGTGGTTTGCGGCGCGGCTTACCTCAGGTCGTGTACACAAACAGGATGCTGCTGCTCACGGTGTGGTCATTCGACATTGGCAAGAACCGGAAAGACACACAAGCCATGACTCTGGCAGTTGCAGGCGCGTTCGTCACCATCTACTGAGTGAAGCTTTATGTTTGACTTTTTTTACCTGACTACAGATCGCTGTCTGAAGCGCCCTGAGACCTCATCACACCACCAGCTTTAACCTAAATACCTCTTCTAAGCAAAACTTTGCTGGCATTCACATCGGGTCAGCGATCTTTTCTGACCTTCAGGAGGTAGAGATGTCCGAAGGCCTTTGAGTTTGTTTTGATGTTTGAACATAAAATTACCGCTAAAAACCACGCAAGGTGGCATGTTTCTCAAAGCTCAGGACTGATGGGGTCGTTTTAGGTAAATGGCCTTCCCTGACTTCCATGATGTCAAAATAAGATACATCTTAACGCCTCTGTGATCAAAGAATGCGAAAGATCGTCAAAACTATCCCATAAAATGTAAGTTCTACAGCAATAAGATAATAGCAAAGGTTTTGACTGTGATCTGACCCTCATACCTGATTCAAGGTTAATGGAATCAGTTGAAAGAACATTTTCAGTTGTCTGATATTCCAACAAATGATTTCAAGGCCGCATGACTCCATTTCATGCTCCATTGTCTCATCAGGTTGAAGAATTCCGTGGAAATTGTCTTCACGGACAGCCATTGCCCGACTATGACCTGCATGAATCAATGAACTTGCGAGACAAATCTAATTTTGATGCAAAATACCGGACAGTCAATTCCCTGCAGCTGCGTAAAGTTTGCCGACAGCTGTGCCACGCTCGTTAAAAACTTACACTGAAAAACCCTGACGGGGGTCAAATTGCCCCGCCCCCCCAAACCCGCCCACCTGATCGCGCGTTTGTCTTATGCCATCATTTTGACCTAATTGGAGACGTAAGCATACCACACCCCTGCACCAGTGTTCCAAGTTATAACAAAAGTTGAAGGTGGCTTTCAACCCCAAAGTCAATAGCAGTATAATAATGTTACAATCTACATGTAACCTTAATTATGCCTTGAGCATTGCTGTTATCAAGCGACACCTCGTAGATGAATTTTGACTTTTACTTCATGCTTAGCTTTCCCAGTCATTCGTTCGGGGAAGCAGATCGATCCAAATATCGTTGGACTTTTGCGCTAGCGGCGTCAGAAGTGTTGACTTACTTGCAGCAAGCTGAGACAAGAAGCCTGCCGTCAGATAAGGTCGGCGTGACATTTGGAAGGTATCTCAGATAAAATAGCAGACGACCTTCAACGTCCGAGAAAAACAGGTAGCAAATTAGGTGTGGTCTGACATGCGTTTTGATGGACAAAGAGATGTGGCTGGCCACCACTCCAGTGTTTGGATGGAAGGCAGCTGTCCTTCCTGCCTCCTCTCCACTCCTCGCTTCAAGCGGGACAGCGTATAGTGCTTTTGGTATAAAGCACTGCCTACGACCAAGTGAGGGATCGAAGGTTCGACCGCAGTTTTGCGATACATGAACATCGGAGTTGCGTTGGTTGTCAGTAATTATGAAAGCAGCAAAAAATCGTCATGGACGCTCCCATCACATTTTATCAACTCATTTATAACAGTCAAACAGAGGGAGTAGTTGATTTAGCTCCCAATCTATGTAACCTATAATTATAACTTTGATGCGTCACCGTCGGCGCATGAATCCATTTTCTGTCAATCTGAGGGCATCCATGGACTTGAAGGTGACCAGGTGGGCAGGGTGAGCAGCCCCACTCCACCGTCAGACAGGGTAGGCAAACAAACATGTTTGCCCGTTCTGTAAGGAAGACCGGTAAAACCACGCGAATGTGTACAGTCAGCAGCAGTGGTGTGGTGAGAAGGCTCGCCCATGACATTTAACGTATGCAACATCGCAATGATCCGCGGACGCCTCAGTCGTGAAAGGTTTTGGCATGATCAGGGGCCGTCGTTCTGCGAGGAGCCACGTCACGGATGACAACAGGCCTTAGCAATGCACGAATCTTTGCGGTTGAGAGCGGAGGCACGGTGGCGCACGGATGGGGACAATCTCTAGCCCGGTGCAGACATCGCCTTAAGCATGCAGATGAATCGGATCGCTTGATTATTTAGACAGCAAGAGGTCCCTTTTGACCAGATGAGCTGTCATTTGAGCCTCCTTTGTAGTTAAACGGACCCCGCACGGTTTGCTCCCGCATGCAAAGTCTGGTATAATCGGGAGGAGACCTCCACGCAGGATACTGTATCGTAGATATCCAAGACACGGCTGGAGGCCCCTGCCGTTGTCGGAAGAAAGCCATGGCACCGTCTAGACATCTTGAATGATAAGTGTCCGTGGTACGGCAGGACGCCCTCGCCGTAATGAATGTGGCGATGATGCGGTAAAGCTGCACGACCTCGTCCGATTGCGAGTGGGCCTTGTCCCGACTGGGGGCTGGCCTCCGTGGCGACTGGAAGGACGGGGCCCAGTAGCAGAGGGATCAGTGATGCAGAGGCGTGCGATGGCTGCATGGAACTACGTGAATGCTGGTATGCTGGATGCTGGAA